TGGGTCTCAGCTTGAGAGGACCCCCAGCCTAGACAGTATGCCACACGCCTCCCCTTTCACAACGAACATTTCTCTCTTCCTCCGTGTGAAGGTTCAAATGTCGGGCCCCTGCCTGGTCTTCCACCCCCAGCTCCAAGGAGGGCTGGGTCCACCCAGAACACTTATTAATGCAGACTAAATCCTAACAGCAGACTAGCTCCAGGCTGTGACACAGCTCAACCCTCCCAGACCCCTGGGGAGGGGAACTGTCATTGTCCCCATCTCCTAGATGAAGAAACTGAGGCCCAGAGAAGCCAACACATTGTTTCTTCCCTCTTTATGAGGTTTCTTCTTTGCCTCTCCCCTTAGATGACGAGCTGCCCAAAGGGGGAGACTTCTGAATCCGCAGCGCCTAGAACAGTGTAAGAGTCCCTGAGTGATGCAAACAGTTAAGCACCAAAAGGTTGGTGTTTTGAATTCACCCAGAGGCACCTTGGAAGAAAGGCCTGGTGATCTGCTTCTGAAAGGTTACAGCCTGGAAAACCCCATGGAATACAGTTCTCCTCTGTACACATGGGGTCACCATGAGTTGGAATTGACTCAACGGCCAACTAAAAATAACAGAACAGTGCACACGTAGGTGCTCAATACATGGTATGGAGAAAAGAAAGAATGTAGCCCAAGCTAGACAACTTGGAAAGGGAAGCTTCAAGATTTTATCTTGGCCCACGGGGTCTGGAGTCTCAGCAACCACACAGTGAGGCCCTTTGAAGACACTCAATAAGAGTGAGAGAGAAAGGGGATCACAGGGGAGGGGAAGAAGGAATGGGGTCCTCTGGACACACAAGCCAAGTGGCTGATTCAGTGATTTCGAGTAAACCCTCTGAGTCTCGGTTTCTTCATCTGTCACGTGACCACTGCCCTCAGGCTCCCAAAGAGATGCCACGTACTCTCCCAAATAGGCCCCCCTACAGGTGGGCAAATCCTTCACTGGGCTTTGAGGGACCCCAGCAGCTCGGCTCTGAGGGCCTGGGAGCCAACTCACTGCTCAGAGAGGCCAGGAGGGGTCAGGAGGACTCTGGATACCAGGGGGGAATGACAGACCCACCCAGGCCCCCTGCCCTGGCTCCCCACGCACCTTACTCACCTGCCCCCGAAGCTGAGCCCACCAGCCCGAATGGCTGGCCTCGGAGCCCTGGTTGTCACCGTGGCTTTGTGACTCACACCCACATTCCAGCCAATCCCAGCCCAACTGGATGGCTCCTGGTGGGAGGGGATTCTAGAATGTGGGTCCAGGGGCCAGGGGGCAGGGCTGAGTGTTGGCGAGGGTGCTACCTATGGCCTGCACATCCTGAGCAGGACGTTAGGGCTCTGCGCGCAGAGGGGACCCCAAGCCCTCCCGCTCCATGCGTGGGGGAACTTCCTTAGTCTTTCATCCCTCAGGCATTTTTTGAACTGCCCTGGGTCTGGGGACACAAATCACTGAGACAATTCTGGGGAGGTCTCCCTGAGGAGATGACATTGGAGCAGGGACCTGAAGTGTAAGGAGCCAGCATGAAGAGCTGAGGGAAGGGCATCCCAGGTGGAGGGCACAGCCCATGTGAAGGCCCTGAAGTGGGAGCCAGCTGGGCATAATTACAGAGCCTAGATGAGAGGGGTGTGGCTGGAGGTGAGGGAGAGGAGGGCAGGGAACAAGCGGGCCTCTGGCCTATGGGAGGACTGCCGGACTCTGAGTTTTATTGAGAGGGTGCTGAGAGGCCAGGGGAGGGTTTAGAACAAGGGAGGAGCAAGTTCTGTTTTACATCCTAAAAGGCAGGGCTGGGTGTCTATGTCCAGCTCTGAGAACAGGGCCTCCCCCAGAGCAAGTGGGCACAGACCCTGAGCCCCCGCCCTGGAGGGGAAGCAAGGCCACTGTCCCAGGTTACCTCCCAGGGCTGGGCCGGGGCCCTGTGTGAGTCACTGCTGGCTGGGCTGGGGTTGACACACACCTTGGCCTCAGCTCAGCAGGGTCCAGCCAAAAGCCTCCCAGGGGGCCACTGGGGGTGCCTCGCCCTAGAACAGGAAGCCAGCAGGGGCGCTGGGCCCCAATCTGCATAGACCCCCAGTCTTCTCCACACTCCTTGGGCTCCAGCTCCCCACCCCCCATGGGTGTGGCCTAGGGCAAACCCTGCCCCTCCCAGATTTCCCACCTAGGGACGTGGATGTTGGACAGGATTTTGTCCTTCCTTCTGTGTCAGCATTGATCAGACAGACCTGGTCCATGTGCTTAGGGAGACAGACCCAAACCCCAGTGGTCAGGGCAATATGTGAGGAGGGGCACAGAGCACTGTGGGAGCTTGAGAAGCACCACCTCAGACAAGCCCAGGGCAGTCAGGGAGGGGCCTGGAGGAGGTCGGTGCAGCTGAGGCTTGGAGGTTGAGCTCAGCTGGGTGGCAGCTGTGCACAGGCCCTGAAAGAAGGAAATGGAATTGTCTGCAGGAAGAGTTGTGCTGGAGGGAGACAGACCTCAGCCTGCCCAGGGCCTGGTGCAGTCAGGACTTATTCTTGGGTTTCAAATGAGGGTCAGACCTGTGGTTTCAGGAAAGGCCCTCCCATCACAGCTCCCACAGGCCTGCCTCTCCCATCAGACTGGGAACCTCCCTGGCTTGCCACCAAGCGGTGTGCCTGGTAGGTGCCAACAAATGCTGGTGAGAAGAGCACCCCCCTTTGCAGCTGAGGGGCACGGGCCTGGGTTCCAGTCCTTGCTTTGCCCCTTAGCAGGGTGTCAGGCAAGTCTGGCAAGCTCTCTGGGCTCCCCCTCTCTATAAATGGGAGTACCAGCATCACCCATAGAGGCTGCACAGGACACAGTTGCTGCTGGCCATTACTAGTACTGTTGTTTCCTCCCCAAGCACTCGCTGGTAGCTTTACCCTCTGACCTGGGAGATGTCACCCCTGCCAAAAATGCACCTATTTTACAAAACAGGAGGTAGAGGTCAGAAGGGGAGGAGAACTTGGCTGAGGTCCTGCAGCGGCAAACTGGCGCCCAAGTTAGGACTGAGTCTCTGCACATGTAAAGTTCTGCCCCCGAAACGTGGTTCTCCATCTCGTGTGTCAAGACACACCTCACTGGCCTCAGCCCCCCTCCTGGCATGAGTGTGCCTGATGTTGGTGCACGCAAGGTCCCGGGGTTTAAAACCAAACCCCAAAGCAGCTCTTGAAGCCTCCAGAATTGGGCAACCAGGATGGCCAGCAGTGCCAGGAAGAAGAGGGCCCATCTTCCCACCCCAAGTTTTCTCATCTGTAAAATGGGCATAACTCACCCACCTTCTTGAGCAGGGAGAGACACATAGTTGGTACTCAACACGTGCCCTTGGCCATGTCCTACAGCCTCTCTGTAAGATGGGGCTGATATGCTCAAATTCTTCTGGGCTCCAGGTGAGTCAGAAGGCCAAGGTTTGGGGTCCTTCACCCCCACTCCAGCAAAGGCCAGAAAGGGTAGGGGAGGCAGGCAGCCTTGTGGTCAAGGCTTTGGAAGTGAGAAGCCCAGGGCTCAAACGGCCTTGTATAATCCCCTAAAAATGTTGTGTGACCTCAAGCCAGTTGCTTTTCTGAACCTTGGTTTCCTCAAAATGGGGGAACAAAACACTGTGAGGAGCTTCAGGGACACTTGTAAGATCCTGGGCTCCTAGTTGGTGCCCGACCGCTTGGAGTGGGATCCCACCTGTACCACCTCCCTCCTAGTCCAGGATAATCCACCTTTCCTTCCTGAGCCTCAGTTTCCTCGCTGGCCAAATTATAAGAAAAGCTAACATTTACTGAGCACCTACTGCATGCTAAGTGCTTTGTAAATACAATCCACTGCATTCAAGTCTCCAGTAGCACAGGGCAGAACTGCCCCATGGGGTTTCCAACGCTGTAATCTTTACTGAAGGGAACTGCCACATCTTTCTCCCACAGAGCAGCTGGTGAGTTTCAAACGAGACCTTTTGGTTAGCAGAGGAAAGCTTCACCACTGCACCAACAGGGCTCCTTTTTGTAAGCAGGAGCTCCCTCTAACCTGACAACATCACGGGGCGGGGCAAGTTTCTGATTGTTGTGACCATTTTACAGACAGGGCAATATACAGAAGCCGGAGAACTTTCTGCCTCAAGGTCGGGCTGTCCCCCTTCCATCACTAAATCCTCTCTTCGCAAAAGACAAAGGGGACGTCTAGGGGCTCGCTAGTTCCAAACGCTAGTCAAAGACCCCAAGGTACCCTCTACCCTCCTCGTGCCGGACCTCAGCCCAGCCTGCGCCGAGGCGCGCCTAGATGGCGCTCGCTGCGCGACAGATGTGCGCTCCCCGCCCCCAACAGGGAGGAGGCAGGGACCTGGAGAAGGGTAAGAAAGGCCGGGGGAAGGGAGGGCAGGGGTGCGGGCCAGGCCCCGCCCGTCAGGCCACAGCAGGGGAAGAAGGAGGAGGCGGAGAGCCGAGCTGGCGTAACGAGACTTTACTGAAAACAGAAAACCGGGCGAACCAAGGATTACATACAGGAATGTGGGCTCGCAGCAAAACAAAAAAAAACAGAACAAAAAACGGAGGAGGGTGTCGGAAGGGGAGCGCGAGAGCAAGAAGAGGGGGTGGGGAGTTTTTTTTTCTTCTTCTTCCCATTTCTTTAAAAAACCAACACAAGAAAACACACACGCACACAACCAACGATTGTTCCCGAGTAGAAACATAAATAGGGCAGAATCGAACACTCTGTTTTTCTCTCTTCCAAAAGCAAAAAAAAAAAAAGTAAAAGAAAAGAAAACGCAGGGTGGCGGCTGCCCCCTCGGAGTCCCCGTCCGCGGCGGTGTACAGAGAGGCGGCCGGGGCGCGCGGATTTGTGCAACATGGGGCGGCCACTCACCGGGGACAGAGGCAGCGCGAGGGCGAGGGGTCATGCGCTCGCCCCCCGGGAGCGGGGGGTCCAGCTTGTCGAGTCCGGGGCGCCCTCTCTCAGTCCTGGGCACCTTCGGGAGATCCCGGGGACCGCGCCCCCTCAAAGTCCCGGGCGCCCCCTCCGAGTCCCGTGCGCCCCCGGGGGCTTCTAAGGGCCGCGCCCTCTCCGAGTCCGGGGCGCCGACGCACCCCCACCCCGAGCCCGCCCCTCGGGGTGGGGGACCGCGCATGCGCCCCGCGCGCGGGCTCAGTACGCGGGCACCTGGTGCTGGGACAGCAGCTGGCAGCCGCTGTTGACGTGGCTGAGGACCTTCTGCTTGAGCTGCGCCACCTGCTCGCGCAGGAGGCTGGCCGTGGACGCCAACTCCGTGTTCTGGCTCTTGAGCGTCTTCACTTTCTCCTCGAGGCGCGAGATGCGCTCCAGCTTGCGCTTGCGGCACTTCGAGGCAGCGATGCGATTGCGCAGCCGTTTGCGTTCTGCCTTGATGCGCTCCTGCGTGTCCATGTCGATGGGCGACAGCGGCGGGCTCTCGCCGAAGCTTGGCACCTCGGGCACCGTCTGCGGCTCGTCCTTGAGCGCGGCCAGGCGCGGCGGTGGCCCCAGAGCGCCGGGTGGCGGCGGCGGGAAGGGCACGGGCTCGGCGGCGAAGGCCACCGTGGCGGAGCCCC